AGCAACACAAGTACATGGGTGGCTATGTGCAGCAAGTAAAACCCTAAACCCTAAACCCTAAACCCTAAACCCTAATGAGATCCAACAAACCGTTAAGTACACTCGCAGATTCTGTTTAAAACCTTTTATTAGGGTTTAAAGATGCTGCAATGATGCTTATCTCCAGCTTGTTTTGTACAAACCCTAAACCCTAAACCCTTATCACATTATTCATGAGAATGCTGCCGGAGAAGAAGCAGTTGATTAAGTGCTCGAGTTTAGGTATAGGATTTAGGGTTTAGGGTTTAGGGTTTAGGGTTTAGGGTTTAGGGTTTGTGTGCAGGTCGTCGGTGCCCTCGTCTTTCGCGTCTCTCTCTCAGCTTCTACGGAGCAGAGTTGTGTTTGCTGCTGCCCCCTCAGCAGCGCAGCAGCAGCTGCTGCTTGTGTGGCTGCTGCACTTGTGAAGGTGCAGCAGCTGCTGCAGCAGCAGCAGGAGCAGCAGCAGCTGCAGCTCGCTCTCCCCAGAGTGCAGCAGCAGCTCCAGGCGCAGCAGCAGCAGCAGCAGCAGCAGCAGGTGCATGCAGACAGAAGCTGCAGGCGTTGAAAGCTGTGAAGGAGCTGGCGTTAATCGGCCTCAAGTCTCCTGCAGCGGTGCAGGCATTACAATCGGTGAGCTGCTGCTGCTGCTGCTGCTGCTGCTGCTGCTATTGCTGCTGCTGCTGTTGCTGCTGCTGCTGCTTCTGCTGGTTGTTGTTGTTGTGGAGGCTCTGATGGTGCTGTTGCTGCTGCTGCTGGTTGTGGTGGTCGCGGTGCTGCTGCTGCTGTTGCTGCTGCTGTTTCTGCTGCTGCTGTTGCTGCTGCTGCTGGCGTTGCAGTTGTCAGCGTGCATTTGCTGTTATCTCCGGTTAGAAGGGGCATCATGCTGCAGCAGCTGCAGCAGCTGCAGCAGCAGCAGCTGCTTTTCTTGAAGATGCAATGAGGTAGCTGTGCTGTCGGCTCGCTTAGTTCTGCTGCTGCTGCTGCTGCTGCTGCTGCTGCAGTTCGCATTTCCTGCGTTACAGAAGCTGACGGTGCGGCTGGTGCCTCCAGCAGCAGGTTCTGATGTGCTGCATCTGCTGCTGATGCTGCTGGCGAATGGAGCATTGCATGCATCCAGCAGCAGCAGCAGTAACAGCAGCAGCAGCAGCAGCAGCAGTAGTAACAGCAGCAGCAGCAGCAGCAGCAGTAACAGCAGCAGCAGCAGCAGCAGCAGCAGACGCTGGTCTGTCTCGTTTGATCAGGCTTCCGGCACGGGGTATGCAGACGGCTTAGCCGATGCAGCAGCAGGGCACCATTCTGCAGCAGCAGCAGCAGCAACAGCAGCAGCAGCACCAAGTAGATGCTGCTCTCTATCGCACCGCAGGGGCTCCACAGGAGACACCAGGGGTGTTTTACGGCAGCAGCAGCAGCAGCAGCTGGAGCGAGGCGCGTCTCCTTCCTTGCATCATGAAGGGCCGATATTGCGGTTGCTGCTGCAGCAGCAGCAGCAGCAGCGACAGCAGCAGCAGCTACCTGAACAGCTGCTCAGCATTGCAATCGCCCTATTAGAGTATCCGGGGTTACGTGCAGCAGCAGATGCAGCAGCAGCAGCAGCAGAAGCGGGGCTTGAAAAAAAGGCAGCAGCAGGAGTTGCTGCTGCTGCAGAGTCTTCTGCAGCAGGAGCGGATGCAGCAACATCAGCGGCACCTGCTGCTGCTGCTGCTGCTGCTGCTGCTGCAGCAGCAGCAGATCAAGGTCTGTCTACAGGCAAGGCCCCCTACTTATTTGCTGCTGCTCCTCTGCAGGAGATCCGCTTCAGCGGCGCATGCAACTTCTCAAATGCAGATGTAAGCTGCTGTTGTTGCTGCTGTTCCTGCTGCTGCTGTTGCTGCAGCTCCTGCTGCTGTGGCGGTATTTTTGCTGCTACTGTTGGTGCTGTTGTTTCTACCGCTGCTGCTCGCAATGGCGGCTGCTGCTGTTGCTGCTGCTGCTGCTGCTGCTGTTGCTGCTGCTGCTGCTGCTGCGGCATTAAGCCAAGAGCTTATGCTTCTCTTGTCAGGGGGAGTTTGGGTCTATAGCGTATTGCATGCGTTGCGTTGCTGTCGTGTTTGCTGCTGCTGCTGCTGCTGCCGCTGCAGCTGCTGCGGGCTTTAGGTTTGCTGCCGCACCTGCGAGTGCTGGAGCTGAGCTGCGGAGCTACCTGCTACGGCCGCGAGTTGCTGCTGCAGCTGCCAGTGCTGCAGGTGCTGTCGCTGTCAGTGCATCCGTTGGTGAGTTGGAGGGTCGACGCCCCTTTGCTGCAGCTGCTGCGGCTGAGGCCTCCTGCTGCAGCACCCTGTAGCAGCAGCAGCAGCAGCAGCAGCAGCAGCAGCACGGAACTCGCCCTCACACAGACAGAGCTGCAGCATATGATTAATACTGCAATGGCGTTTGCTGCTGCATTGCCGGAGAGCAGCAAACAAATCTCGCTGGTGTATGTACACCTCAGCGACGCGCAGTGTAG